CACCAGCCCGTCCTCGTCACCCGGCCCCTGTCCCCACATGTGGTGGATCTGGGCACCCTTTCCATTCCTTTGGGGTCTGGGGACATCGTGAGTGCCACCACCCTGTCCCTGTCCCTGTCCCTGTCCCCTGTCCCTGTCCCCTGTCCCCAGTTCTGGTGGATCTGGGCACCCTTTTGTTCTTTTGGGGTTTAGGACATGGTGCCACCACCCTGTGTTCATGTCTGGTGGATCTGGGCACCCTTCTTGGTGTTTTGGGGTTTGGGGACATCGTGAGTGCCACCACCCTGTCCTTGTCACCCGGCCCCTGTTCTGGTGCATCTGGGCACCTTTTTGTTCTTTTGGGGTCTGGGGACATCGTGAGTGCCACCACCCTGTCCCTGTCCCTGTCCCTGTCCCCACGTCTGGTGGATCTGGGCACCCTTTTGTTCTTGGGGTTTAGGACATCGTGCCACCACCCTGTGTTCATGTCTGGTGGATCTGGGCACCCTTCTTGGTGTTTTGGGGTTTGGGCACATCTTGAGTGCCACCACCACCCTGGCCCTGTCCCTGTCCCTGTCCCCTGTCACCTGGCCCTGTCCCTGTCCCTGTCCCTGTCCCCGTCCCTGTCCCTGTCCCTGTCCCTGTCCCTGTCCCCCCGTCTGGTGGGATCTGGGCACCCTTTTCCTTCTGCTGGGGAATTTGGGCTCTGAGGGGAAGGTGCCACCTGCTGCCACTGTCACTGCCACCGTCATGATGGTCACCATCACTGTCACCGTCACTGTCACCGTCATTGTCACCATGATGGTCACCATCACTGTCACCGTCATTGTCACCGTCACTGTCACCGTCATTGTCACCATGATGGTCACCATCACTGTCACCGTCACTGTCACTGTCACTCCTGGGTGGGCACCGGGATGGCCCCAAGGGAAGGTGAAGATCCCAAACCAGGATGGTCCCAAACCAGGGTGAAGATCCCAAATGAGGATGAAGATCCCAAACCAGGGTGAAGATCCCAAACCAGGATGGTCCCAAATCAGGGTGAAGATCCCAAATGAGGATGAAGATCCCAAACCAGGGTGAAGATCCCAAACCAGGATTGTCCCCAGGGAAAGTGAAGATCCCAAACGAGGATGGTCCCAAATGAGGGTGAAGATCCCAAACCAGGGTGAAGATCCCAAACCAGGATTGTCCCCAGGGAAAGTGAAGATCCCAAACGAGGATGGTCTCAAGTGAGGATGAAGGTCCCAGACCAGGATGGTCCCAAACCAGGATTGTCCCAAATGAGGGTGAAGATCCCAAACCAGGGTGAAGATCCCAAACCAGGATTGTCCCCAGGGAAAGTGAAGATCCCAAACGAGGATGGTCTCAAGTGAGGATGAAGGTCCCAGACCAGGATGGTCCCAAACCAGGATTGTCCCAAATGAGGGTGAAGATCCCAAAGCAGGGTGAAGATCCCAAACCAGGATTGTCTCAAGTGAGGATGAAGGTCCCAGACCAGGATGGTCCCAAACCAGGATGGTCCCAACTGAGGGTGAAGATCCCAAAGCAGGATGAAGATCCCAAACCAGGTGAAGATCCCAAACCAGGATGGTCCCAACTGAGGATGAAGATCCCAAACGAGAATGGTCCCAAGCCGGGTGAAGATCCCAAACCAGGATGGTCCCAAACAAGGATGAAGATCCCAAATGAGGATGAAGATCCCAAACCAGGATGATCCCAAACCAGGGTGAAGATCCCAAACCAGGATGAAGATCCCAAACCAGGATGGTCCCAAACAAGGATGAAGATCCCAAATGAGGATGAAGATCCCAAACCAGGATGGTCCCAAACCAGGATGGACCCAACTGAGGGTGAAGATCCCAAACCAGGTGAAGATCCCAAACCAGGATGGTCCCAACTGAGGATGAAGATCCCAAACCAGGATGAAGATCCCAAACGAGAATGGTCCCAAGACGGGTGAAGATCCCAAACCAGGATGAAGATCCGTGGCTGCGTCCCAGCATTCCTGGAGGATTGTCCACCTCAGCCGTTTCTCCTGGAGAACGAATCCTACGGGGTGGACACGGATCCCACGGGGTGGACACGGATCCCACCGGGTGGACACGGATCCCACGGGGTGGACACGAATCCCACGGGGTGGACACGAATCCCACGGGGTGGACACGAATCCCACGGGGTGGACACGAATCCCACGGGGTGGACACGAATCCCATGGGGTGGACACGGATCCCACCGGGTGGACACGGATCCCACGGGGTGGACACGAATCCCACCGGGTGGACACCCGGTAGCCTGGAAGCCCCAAAAACCCCCAGGAGAAACCAGAAACTCCCAGGAGATGCTGGAGCCACCCCAGTGCCACCAACGCCACCTCAATGCCACCAGGTTTTGGGGTGCCACCAGCCTGGTTCAGCCCCAGAAGGTCGCTCTGAAGGCACCAGGACCTCTGTGAGATCCTGGTCCTGATCCTGGAGCTCCAATCAGAACCTCGGTCGTGGTGGGATTTGGGATCCCTGGAAGGAACCTCCTGGTGGGATTTGGGATCTTCTGGAATGAACCTCGTGGTGGGATTTGGGACCTCCTGGAAAGAGCCTCCTGGTGGGATTTGGGATCTTCTGGAATGAACCTCGTGGTGGGATTTGGGACCTCCTGGAAGGAGCCTCCTGGTGGGATTTGGGATCTT